TATCTAGGTGGTCTCATCTTCATGCGACGATGAGAGGCCCAGCGTCAAAATACTACCTTCTCCAAGCAGTAAAGGCCCAGCGTCAAAATGCTACCTTTTCCAATTTCCAAGCAGAAAAGGCCCAGCGTCAAAATATTGCCTTTTCGAGGCCGTTTTTCGAGGCAGTTCCTTGTGCGCGTACCTCACGCGATCTTTAAGACTAAATATGACTAAATACCGGACTAAATATGTGCCCCCCTCAACACCTCATCCTGATCCGCTCCATTCCGCAGGAGGCTAGGGCCGAGGTTGGCGGATCGCAGTCATACGACGTCGAGGTCATCTGCGCAGGCGCCACGGATGACGACGGCCGCCCCGATCCTCTGGGAGAGGGTGTCCTTCGTCGAAAGCTTGAGGCCGTTCGCTTCGACCTTAGCCTTTTCGAGGAAGCGCCGCCTGACACTGACCTGGAGAAGGACTGCATGCGTGGCCCTGAGGCGGAATCGACTGAAGACAGCAGCGTATGGGCGCGCACGTCGTTGGAGGCCCTCCTCGACCTCATCGGCGAACTCCCCGTCCACGTTGCGGCGGCTGTGCGATACAAACTCACGCCTGCAAGGCCGGGTCATGTTGTGGTTTTCGGACCCAATGGCTTCCACTTGTGCTCTTGCCCCTCTGGCCCCTATCCTCCACTTCTACTAGCTAGACGACCCAAACGGGGTCACATATGAGGGGGGGGCTGGACCCCCTCCTGCGGTTCCTGCCTGAGATATTTTTATCGCGAGAAGTTTACAGCAATCCCTTCCCTCGCGACTTAAAAAGTCGATTATGGTTTTACTAACAACGAGCTTTGCAACGCGTCGCTTTCATCCTAGATCTACACCAGGATTTATCTAGTGAGAAAAACTCTCTCTGCCGGGACTCGAACCCATGACTCAGCCCTTAGCAGGCTGCGAAGGTTACCCACTAGACCACCGGGGCGGCCGGACCACTATGTACGCGGCTGATGTTGTTGCGCCCTGTTTCCCTCCCTTCTGTAGACGACCGCATAGCTAATCCTTTATTATGTAGACTATGTCCTTTGTACTGCCTTCGGCCTCTGTGCTGTGTTTCTTTTGTCTCATGTCCTAGCTGCCTACTCTGCCGTGTTGGGTACCTTGATCTCCCTTTTACTGTTGCTTGTGTTTTTCTACATGTGGCTGTCTGCCCATTTCCCGCCTCTTTGTTCTGTTGGCCACGTTGCTTCCATGCCCCGGTGCGTAACGCCTGGTGCTGGTACATTACCCTTTGAATTTTTAGGCGGTGTGGGAAGCGTCCTCCTTTTCATTTTCTATCTCTAGGCTATTTTTGTTTTGTTTTATTTTGATCCGTTTCCGAGAGCCCTTTTCTCGACCGGTCGGTGCGGTAGCTCTTCTTTTCTTTGTATCATTTTGTTTCCGAGTGGTTGTACCCTATTTTTGTTGTGTCTCCCCGCGGCGTCGTATGTGCCGGGTTTTGAGACCACGGGCTCCCCATTTTTGTGGACTAGAGAGCTAATGTGAGAAACAACAACAAACAACAACAACACACACGGATATCGAACGATGAAACTGAAGCTAAAGCTTCAGAACTTGATAGTACGGACTGCGCCAACAGGTCCACGAGGGTGCAGGCGGGTGTGTGCGTGCGCGAGTGTGTGGTGGTTTTGCTATGAACGTGTCAACATTGACCGTACTAACCAGTTCGTCAACGAACATACGTGAGCCTCGGCGGGGTGACGAAGCCAAGAACGCCTCCTGAACCGCAGGGGGTGTTTCATGTGTCCGCAAGGTGCCTAGAAGGTGTGCCATCGATCGGCAAGCTCAAGAACGAAATGCAAAGCACCAGCATGTTGCCTACTATAGCTAGCTTGCACGGGACAGGGCATGCACGGAACAACCCAATTCATGTTCCGAAGCAAACATCCTGTCAACGACCATCCGTGGATAAGATATTCATGATCGAGTCTCGACCTTGACCAGTTCCGTCGACTTTCTGTTCGCCAAGTAAGCTGGACTAGTTACGGATGTTAAAAGGTACCGGGTACAGATCGAAACGATTTTTAACGTACATGAACACGACAACAACAAAAACAACGACAGTTGCCCACACTACCGACCCTCCTCAACAAGGAACATCAACCTCTAGCTGGAGAGTAACGGCTGCTCTACGAAGGGCTCTAGGAGGCGTGGCTTGCCACCCACACGTACGCCCAGCCTAACACCCGCCCGACCACAGAACATGACGGTTACTGTTCACAAGAACGCAATAATGACCGCGTACGGGAACACGGAACACGACGAGACTTTTGAGAACAACCTCGTTAACCTACGGAGCGCCGTCCAAGGCAGTGTCGATGTCGTCTGTGGACAGCGCGGTGGGTTTGCCTCCCACCACGCTCCAATCATACTGATAATACCTGAACCCGTCTCGCTCTTCCATTTGCAAGCCCTGACAAGAAAAAATTGTGGCCGTCATGTACCGCACGTCGCGAGCGGGGGTCAAGGCGTGGGCATGCGAAATCAAAACGCATCCAGCACAGCAAGAAGCAACCACCATACAAAGCGGCACGATACGTAGATTCACGTTCCAGGTCTGCTCAATGAAAATGCTGCTCATCCCGCGGTTGGTTGAACTCCAAGGTAGTATCCGCGGTGGTACAGTACGAGACTAAGACACGACGAGATGCGTACTGTAGTACACCGCGGTGTATGTTTCCACAGCTACAGGAACGTAGAGCAAGAACGACATGGGCGGAAGGACGAAGATTTAAGCCCGTAACCAGCCGAGCCTGTTACCACGCTCTCCAACAGTGCTGCATGCGGGAAGCCAGCTATGAGGTAGCGAGAGCTCAACCCTGGGGCCGCTAATGACAACGTACGTGACTGATGATATCAGGAGAACGAATTTCGAACCCTGCTTTACGTAGCAGCCAAAAAGAGTTGTATGCAAATGCATTCTGTTGCTTGACTACACGCTGGCTTTCAACTCCTAGCCCAGCAATACGGCTCCGTTCGGGCACGACATCCTTCACAACTGGTTCAAAGCTTGAAAGCCACACTGCTTATGTACCGTATGTACAGGTCAGTGAGTCGAGTTCATTTTGCATTCGGGTGTCCGGACATTTATCGCACCTCCACTTCTGGCACGGCGTTCACAGATGGCTTTTTCTTCTCCTCGCCGCCTTGTGCATCTGCGCCATCCACGCCGGCGGACACATCGCCATCGCCACTGCTACCGCTGCCAGTTTCGTGCTGCAGCCATCTTTGGTGCTCCTTTTCTCGCCATTTTCTGTGTAGGTTTTGGTTCGGTGTCGGGGGCGTTCGAAAAATCGAGCATGGAGGCCAACAATAGCGCAATGTCAAACAGGCGAGGACCACGTAGGACAGGTTAGGTGATCGAAGAGCAGGCGAGTTGGACCCGAGACAGGGAAAGCAGCTAGCCATCAATAAATCATTCGCCACAACCGGCCTTCCAAGGGACTCTGATAAACACGGCGTGGATTGCAGTTGGAATGCTCAGTCGCCGTCCGTTGGCGCTCACTCGAACTTCGCTGGCTCTGGTATGGAAAAGTTCATCTCCTCGCGGGTGATGGGATGCGGGAATGTTAGGCCGACCGCCCTGAGCGAGGTAGGAGAAAGAACCAAGGGAAGGGAGAAAAAACAAAAGCGAAATGAGTGTGATCATCGACTTTGCGGAGTACCTCAGAGGGAGGGGGCTAACGGCCTAGCAAAGCACAGCTTGTCGGAGGGAAAAGGCAACTAAGCGGTTGTCCTCTTCGGGATTGACAGGCCTCAACATCCGCCTAAAGAAGCTGCCTAAGATTTCCCGACAGCAACAAAATAAATAGATTCTGCTGCTGCATTTTGGAATACATGCTCATTTAGGTAATGAGTATTTCGTTCGGAAAGAGAGGGGCGTCACGTACCATAGTTGCGGAGAAGAGGAAACCTTCCACCTTTCCTGCAACACATCGACAAAACAACGGACACATTTCGCCGCGAGTTCTACCTCCATCTTCCATACAGTCGTCATGCTCATATCTTGCACAAATACAACGGAACAGGAAGGAGAAAAAACACCCATACTCCACTTGTAGCTGTTATTCATTGTACTCTCTCGTCGCCAATACTTCAGCCCGTGGTGACAACTCACTGCAGATACATGCCGCCTTCCTGAAAAGGAACTTCATCAGGCGTGTAGCGCCTGTCACCCAGAATCGGGCAGCCTATGCTCGACAAGTGCCTTGGGGCGTAGTTGAGTGAATGCAAAAACGCAAAAGCAGGAGAAAACGAAGCGGGAGGCATGCCGTCAGCCGACTCCCCGAGACAGTGTATCTCTGCATTCATGCAGAACCGGACATGTCATGAACGCGACGGCGCACACGGTGGCGAAGGCGACAATGTGTGCGGGACAACTACACGCCGGCCTCGACGCACTGCAGAAGCAGAGAAAACCATGATAGGCGTAGGAACAAGAAAAAGATCACAGTTAGGCGTCGGGCGGACGGACTCAAGTCTCTCGTCCATCAGTACCAGAAACCATGTTGTACGTCAGCAGTGGTGATGGCGGCCGAGCAAATATGCATGAACGACTAGATACATCCGTGCTTCCAATGAGTAATATACATGAACTCAAAAATGCAGCCGTGCATAACGCGGTCCAGGGATCGTAATCAGAGACCCATACCTGTCCACCTTCGAGACATGAGCACGCGTAGCGTTCGAACGCCATCGTTACCAAGGCGCAAGAGCACCGTCAACAAGATTGAAGCAAGGGTACCGAAGCAAAACACGCCCGGACCTTCTGAGCTGGTGCAACCGTCCTGTGACCGGCCAGAGATCGACCGTAGTGATTACCGAGGTCTTGAGCGACCTCACGGGAGGTCCCCTCACGCGGTAGTTCGTGACACAGGCCTGGGGGCGGGCAAGGATTGACGGGAAAAATACAAGGAGAAGCATGCGCAAGGTAGACAAACGGTACCGCATTAGAGTGGTAGGGCGAGGGAGCTGGAATTTCCACAGCGCGGCACGCGTTGATGTTGGGGGGTGTAAGTATTTAGCAGCAACAGCAGCTGAAACAACAACATACCAAAATTATCCGTAGCTTGTTGGATAAAAAGAGCCACCCGGGTGCTCGCTCGTCCGTAGCTTCCATCCTTCAAGAGCCACCCCGTAGCCCCGAACCAACAAAGGATACCGGTACACTCATATCGAATCGTCTTGGCGAGACTGGTCGCCGGGTGGGGGACATCAACCAAAAATAACCATGGAGTGAATCAAGGAAAGCATTAACCTTGCGCATTTTGTAACTGCGTCAATTGTCTACATGGAGATTGCGCACTTTTCCGTCCAGGGGAGTGACGATCGCGCCGCTCCCTTCCAGCTCCCCGGCGACGAGGGCTACGTACCGCTTCGACACCAGCCGTTGCTCAAATGCGTCGCTGAACCAGAGTAGGGCGAACGGTTCAACGGTTCAGGTTTGGGGTGGAATAAAGAGAATACGGGGGGGGGGGGGGGGGGGGGGGGGGGGGGGGGGG